TTTTAGGTCTTTGCCTTCTTGAAACCGTAAATTTGTCTTTCGAGAGACAAATTTACGGTTTCAAGAAGGCAAAGACCTAAAAGAACGTTGATTTTTACCAATCATGAGTTTGTGTAAATTTTAAATCTGATGATGGCGCTGTTGTCTCGCCGAAACGTAATGAAATGAACGATTTTACGTCACACTTTGACTGAGAGCCAGGAAATATAAGAATATCAATTTTATTTATAATAGCAGATTTTCGTAACGTGTTTTGCGCAACAATGCCGGTTTATTCCTACAATCTACTGGCGACTTAAGCCCATGTCCCATGCATCCGTTTGTACGATGATACGGAAGTGTTTCTATTGGTTGGACGAATTGACAGATCTCCAACCAATAGAAACACTTTCGTACCATCGTATCATCGTACAAACGGATGCATGGGACACGGGCTTTATGCTTACCTTCTGAAAACAGCTGCGATGGTCATGTTGAAGAACGATCTGTAAACAATGCTTATTTAAAAAGAGGTTGAATAGGGCGCAGCCAAGGAAGCCCTTGAGTGGGCCGAGTAGGAATTCTTAGGACTGCGCTCTGTTATAATTAAAAATCTGTCCTTTTGAGGCTTGTCGGGCTGATTTATTTTGGCTCTTTAATTTCCTATTAATCAATCATCAATAACTAAGTGATTTTAATGAGTTTGGGTCACAGTTAATGCAAAATTTGGCACGACCTATAAAACATTCCTTCAACAGGAGATAACAGTCGAGCGAACACTCGGAAAGGATTTACTAGATATTTCAGATACTTACAATCATCTACTCTGAATCACTATTTGCACCGGAAAATAATTAACGTGCTGTGTAACACGTGGACTTTTGTGGTCTGGAAGCGCTTCAGTGCTAACTGGACTCATCAATGTCCACAGCAATCGGTTCTAATCACAAAGCGGGTGCATAAACAACACGAATTATTTCGTTCCATTAACGTCGGTTGATGATAAACAACACGGGTGACGAAACGTATTTTTGCTGCAAAAACCACTCCTAAGCAATTGGACGACGTTAATGCATGTATGTGTGTATTAGCACATCAGTTAACCGTAGAAAAAAAAGAAAAGTAAATTTCCAATGAGTGATAACAGAGAATGCGGACTCTGGGGCGAAGGACTAGTTTTATTCGTTTTAGCCTCTCCATAATGGTGGAGGCACCTACGTGCTATCCTTCAGCACTTTTCTTCCCATAGATAGAGGTGTGAAGGTGCTTTTGCTGGGCGGAGGGTTCAGTTTGCTGGTAATGTAGACGAAGGGCTCGTTCAAAGTCGATCTTTGCATCGCAGATACGATAAAATGTCGGGTTTTCTCTCGGTTGCACCAGTCGCTCGCGCGATTTACCACCGAATCTGCGGAATTTGTTGCGTCTTTGGTTCGATTACCGATCACAATCACAGTCACCTGAAAGTGGAGATTTTATTCAGAATGGTTCAAAGGTTTGAATTTGAGTTTCTACTGGCTAAGTTCTTTAATGGATGGGTTCTCTCGCGCAGAAAATCTCGATTACACACGTTCTAAACCTACTGCACAAGCCTTACCTCCTTCTTGTCCTTGTTCTTATCCACGTCCTTTTTAATGGACATGAGAGCCTCCAACGAATTGGGCTTCTCCGTGTCATAGACCAGAATATACCCATCAGCCAGGACCAAGTAGTGCCTCAAAAGCTGCTGGCTGGTAGTTCCATTCGCTGTTGCAGTTTGCGAGCTTTCAATCCCCGCTGTATCATAGAACCTCACCTTCTCCCTCACTCCTTTGTCCGATTCGATGTTGGCCACGTAAATGTCCTCAATGGTCGGGTGGAGCTCCTTCAAAGGCCCCCATTAAACCAGGCAAAGCCCCCGTGAGCCCCACTTACCGATTGCTGCGTGATGTTGCCATAAATGGCCTGCTCTAAAATGGCGGTTTTGCCCACACCCTTCATGCCGCAAACGACCACTTTGCATGTTTTTCCCATGGTTTTTTCATGTGGGGAATGAGGGAAATCCAAAAATTGGCAAATGGAAATGTGGGGTTAGGCTTGATGTTTGTCAACAACCTTGTCCGGAAGTCTGACAAGCGTGACAACCTGTAGAAAGTTGGTCTGGGTGCTGATGACGTCATGCTCGAGGCATCAGTGATGTTTCTTGCAGAGTGTGTCCAAAGGCCACCACATATTTTCAACTTACCTCAATTCAAAACTGGAAAAATTACCGTGGAACACTGTTAAAGGGTCTATAGGGCTTCAGTTATTTATGATAATTTTATTAATAAGTTTTTAAAGCGATTGGAGTTGAATTATCTGCTTGTAACCAGGACCATTTTATGAAAGCATCTGTTTTTCTTCTAAAGTTTTAATTAATTTATTTGCTGGTCAGTGCCCTGGATAGGTTTAAAAATGGTTTTTTCCTGTCGTTTTTGTGCCCGGATCACGTGCCCAGCCCAAAGAGCGGGCCTGGGAGCTTATAAAAATACATATATTTATATTTAATGCAAATGATCAAATCACAGAGTAGACGACCAAATTGAGGCGTTCAACTGCATAAGAGCGAGGCATTAGACCTAATCAAGTATAGTGAAAAACGGTGTCAACTGACCCAACGGGCGTCGCGGCGCCTTTTCCCAACACCGTCTCGGACCGGTAATTTATCGTTAAGCGTCGGGGCCCGAAGGCCCCCTAAATTTACATAATACCCGATTCTGTACTCAATTCGCACTGATGAATGAGATTTGCCATACTGGTCCGGGCACACTTTCCGGATTAAATTTGCATCGTTTGCTCGAGGCCCCGGTCCAGACCAAGACATAACAATCCAGAATTGAATGCGGCCAGTGCGGAAAGTGTGATTCTGGAAAATTGTAGTTTTCATGCTCATAGTCTAGATGGCTGGACCAAAACTGGAAACCCGTTTTGAAGGATTCCGGTACGGAAAATTGCGTAAATCGCACACTAACCGGATCATCAAGGCGGCAGTTTTTCGGCGATCTGCAGATGACAACCGATCAAAACAGTCTTTATTGTGCAGAGAATCGTGGACGGCGACGCTGCCTTTCATTTATTAGCAAACAAACGAGCTCGACAGTCCGTGAAAAATAACTTTCGTCAATATTTTGGTTTATCACATGTAGAAACAGGGCTGGGCTTTTTTGGTTCATCCTTTGTCGGCTGCCAATTGGCTTGATGTTGTGGAGAAAGTGGCCAGTTGTCCTACATAACATACAAAAACGTCATGAAATCATCCCTACGCGAAGAAGATTATTTTGAAAAGAATTTAGTCCCTAGAACAGCTCCAAAATTCTCATTCTACATAGAATTCGTTTTGGCATCGTTGGATAGAGATTCCGCCCTTGTAAGGAAGCTTTTAAGTGCTTGAGAAAGCTACAAGAAGTTTACTAATTTATGAAAAATGCGTAAAACCGTCTCCGGCCTGGTCTGAATCAACAGTTTTCTTCGATGATCGAGTAAAACAGCGTGTCGACGGCACAAGAAGATTCCTATGCTGGAAGTGCTCGAGTCGCAGCTGAGACTTGGAAAACCAGACACGAAGAAAATTAGAATTCTTATAGAGAAAAATTAACTGAAGACTCGAATGAGAAAATAGTGCTTAAAGACAGTGAATAGATAAAGAACATAAAATAGCGACTGAAGAAAGTGAGGGGCACAGAACTGGAAAAATCCAGCTGGTGAAGATTATATTGAAATCAAATTAATTCCTGGGTTTCAGTCATTTATTGTCTCAATTTATCAATCAAAATACGTTTCGGTGTATTTTTCCACCATCATCAGTTTTTATGTGTAGCGTTGTTGCTGCTTTAAGCCTT